GGCTACCATAGATTACCTTTATACGCTCGGCTAGCGCATCCTTTGCAGCTGCGGTATCAGCACCGAATTTTAACCCATCCTTCTTCTTTGATGCGTCAGCCATGAAGGGATAGACCTTGATTGACTTGACAGCTGATTTTTGCAATGGGGGAGGGGCTGCTTCGACGCGGACAATGCCACCTACCATGCCCTCAGCACCTAGAGCGGAGCACAGTAGCGTAGACATTGCCAAGTGTTCACTGTGCGGAGCATCTACCCACGGAAGCAATTTAGCAACGAGTTTTGTGGTGGGCGCACCGGCCTCGTTGGACTTTTGTTCTGCTTGATTCAATTGCTGTTGAGGGTCAAGCGGAGGTTTCAGGCCGGAAGGTTGGACGATGGTGATGCAGGCCCAGCTGGCTCCACGAAGTTCGTTTGACGCAAGGATGTCGGGCTCTACCCAAACGCGGAAGCCCTTGTTGATATCATCTTCTGACTCCCCATCGAAGTACTGCTCAGGCCACTGTCGATCAATACCTCTGAAATAAAGACATCCTCTGCTTGTCGAGTCTGATTTACTCTTTGTCCGCACGGCACTTCCGCTACTCCTCCCCCCGACACTTCTCCGGCTGCTCCCAGTAACACTCCTACTATCACCTCGGGACCCTCTTGTATTCTTGGGACGCACTTTCGGAGCAACAATAACCTCCGCATCGGGTGCTATCTTAGCGAATGGGGAGGTGTCCGATGGCGCCGGCGTAAGAGACGTGATGACAATATTGGCGGTGGATGTCGGGGAAAGATGCAGCGCAAGAGGATGCATATGGTCTGGTTGACCCGTGCTGTATGTTGGATTTGGAAGAGCCCGAATCTGAGAAAGAAGGTTGAGCTCCAGAAAAGTTGCGTGCAACTCAATGACTGTGGTCGGGATGAGTCAGTAAATGCAATCTCAGTATGGTCGAAGGTGAACACCGTACTTTCCCAGTCCTCAGGAGTTAGAGGCTCTATATTGATGGTATGCGCTACCGGAGGGTCCAAGTGAATGAATATTCCGACCTAGCACCGTATTAGAATACCTGGACATATAGCGTAGTGGTTGCCGTGCGTAGCGTACTCTTTGTCCTTCGGTGAGACCCAAGACTCTCCCAAATGTGGTATCTAATTCGACAGTAGAGATATCCTGTTCTCTAGAAGAGGGACCGCTATTGATGCCATCCTTTCCAACAACTGGCGCAAGCTTCCGCTTGCTTGGCATCCCCGTCCACCCCAGATAGCATGATCGTTGTGTCGCATTGCCGCTGGCCTTTCCGGATGTAGGTCGGTATTGCAGCTCGACAATCACATTTTGTGCAGCCTGACAAAGAATTAGATTTTTCAAAGCCAATTGACATCCACAATAGATGAGGAACTAGCTTACAGTGTTGGCATTGACGAGCAGTGCAACCAGCGATGGCGGCAGATTTACCAGACAGTTCTTCAAAGGCACGAGGGCAACCTCGGCTGTGGTAGAGGGTTTCTTGGGCGCCATTCTCTGGCGCTGTGAGGGTATATTCGTTCTCTTTAAAAGCAGCGGAGAGCTCTTGGAGAAGAGAGAAGACCGCAGCTCATTATGTCCCCGGACATCGACTCCGCAATCAAGCGCCCGCCATGCGCCGTTCGCCGAGCCGGCCGGCCCATAGATCTCGGACCGAGACTTAATCCGTTCCGGTACACGTGCATATAATACTAGTTCTTTTCAGGACTAGTGCAATATACGGAATGGAAACGCGTCAGTTTCGTGTCGCGACGTGTTTTTGCGCCTCAGGTTGCTGGGCCTAAGGTTGCTGGGGTTCCGAATTTGATCCACTACCAACTTCTCCGAGAAATCACCAAAAGTCCGCCCGCCGCTTCCTTCTGCCCCCTCCGATCGATGCGAGTCTAGTCCTGCCGCCATTCGCATCACTTGCCAGTTAATCTGTCAACTAAACTGGCTCATCCCATTGTCGCATCATGGCTTTGCTTCAGTACCACGCTCCTGTTGACTATGCGGCGCAATTGGACGCCTTTAAGGATTTCCTCACGCACTTCAAAACATTCGAATCAGCTTCTGCATCCGCGGCAACTGAGGCTATTGAAGACTTACACATTGATGGAGACCGCACCAGCGATGAATATGACTTTATGGATGATGCGGAAGATGAGAATGGAGCTCAGAGAGAAGGATCCGGCCGCAGGCGCCGCGAACCAAAACTGAAGTATATGCAGATGCTCCAAGATGTGGCAGATCGCGAGCGCACAAATATCCTGATCGAGCTTGATGATCTAGCTACAGTGAGTACTTGACCATTATGTTCCTCGACACAGTGACTGACATTATGGCAGTTCGAGAAATCACTCCCGGAGGACACAGACCTTAAGCTTGTTGAATCCGTGCAGAAGAACACCAGGCGCTATGTTGATGTTCTTTCACAGGCTGCCGATGCTGTCATGCCCAAGGAAACCAAGGAGATCACGTATGTATTGAAATCGAATGCTTAGGCGAACCCAAGGCTGATCGAATACAGATTCAAGGATGATGTACTTGATGTTATCATGTCCCAGCGTGAAAAGCGGAACGAGGCCATGACTATGGCCATGGAAGCCGACATGGACGCAGCGGCAGCGCCCTCGATCTTCCCCCCTGAATTAACCCGTCGATACACCCTGAACTTCAAGCCAATTACGCCTTCCGGATCGAGCAGTGAACGTGAATCCAAAGCCCTTGCGGTTCGAAATGTACGAGCAGAGCATCTTGGTGGCTTGATCACTGTCCGGGGCATAACTACTCGTGTTTCGGATGTCAAGCCAGCTGTCCAAATCAATGCCTACACTTGTGATCGCTGTGGGTCTGAGGTCTTCCAACCAATCACTACGAAATCATACCTTCCTATGACAGAGTGCATGTCAGATGAGTGTAAGCAGAACAACTCTAAGGGACAGCTGTTCTTGTCTACTCGTGCTTCGAAGTTCGTTCCTTTCCAAGAAGTGAAGATCCAGGAAATGGCAGATCAGGTTCCCGTTGGTCATATTCCACGCACCATGACTGTTCACTGCCATGGCAGCCTGACACGACAATTGAACCCTGGTGATGTGGTTGATATTGCAGGAATTTTCCTTCCCACCCCGTACACGGGATTCAGAGCCATCCGTGCTGGATTGCTGACCGACACCTATATGGAGGCTCAGCATATTACGCAACATAAGAAGTCCTACAACGAACTCGCGATGGACAACCGGACTCTTCGCAAGATCGAACAACACCAGAAGTCTGGGAACATGTATGAGTACCTGGCTCGCTCGATTGCCCCTGAGATCTACGGCCACCTTGACGTGAAGAAAGCCTTGCTTCTTTTGCTCATTGGAGGTGTCACGAAAGAGATGGGTGACGGCATGCACATTCGTGGTGATATCAACATTTGCTTAATGGGTGATCCTGGTGTTGCCAAGTCTCAGTTGCTGAAGTATATTGCTAAGGTTGCACCTCGAGGCGTGTACACTACTGGCCGAGGAAGCAGCGGCGTCGGTCTCACGGCTGCTGTGATGAGAGATCCTGTGACGGATGAGATGGTATTGGAGGGAGGTGCATTGGTTCTGGCGGACAATGGCATTTGTTGCATTGATGAATTTGATAAGATGGATGACTCTGACAGAACTGCCATCCACGAAGTAATGGAGCAACAGACGATTTCGATCTCCAAGGCTGGAATCACAACCACTCTCAATGCCCGCACGTCTATCTTGGCAGCTGCCAACCCGCTCTACGGGCGGTATAACCCACGTGTTTCTCCGGTCGAGAATATCAACCTTCCTGCCGCTTTGCTTTCACGTTTCGATGTCATGTTTCTTATTCTCGACACTCCTTCGCGCGATGCTGATGAAGAACTGGCACATCACGTCACTTACGTCCATATGCATAATAAGCACCCCGAAAATGAAGATGCGGGTGTCATGTTTACCCCTAGTGAAGTTCGCCAATACATTGCGAAGGCACGTACCTACCGGCCCGTCGTTCCTGCATCCGTTTCGGACTATATGGTTGGTGCATACGTCAGAATGAGGAAGCAGCAGAAGGTCGACGAGAGCGAGAAGAAGCAGTTCTCTCATGTTACTCCACGTACTTTACTGGGCGTTGTTCGTCTGTCACAGGCCCTCGCCCGTCTTCGCTTTAGCGAGGAGGTTGTTCCGGAAGATGTGGATGAGGCACTACGTCTTGTTGAGGTCAGCAAGGCGTCTCTGTCTAACGACGGCCAGGGAACTGCGGATCAGACTCCCAGCAGCAAGATTTACCACCTCATTCGCTCCATGTGGGAGAGCGGTGCGGCAGCCGTGGGCGAAGATGGCGAGCTCAATATGCGGAGGATCAGAGAACGTGTGCTTGCTAAGGGTTTCACTGAAGATCAACTCACGATGACCATCGACGAGTATGACCAGCTAGGAGTAAGTATTTCCAACATAACCCCTTATTTCTCAGTTTCGACAGTGCTAACATAACGATCTCTCAGGTCTGGCAAGTTAACGGTAACGGCACACGTCTGATGTTCGTTGGTGGTGATGCGGAAATGGATATGTAAAGAAGGGTATTCCACCATAGTTCTCATCGAAAAAGAATCACTAATGTTTACTTGCCATGAGTTAATCGGGGCTAATCACGTCTTATCATTTTTGTCTATTGTTCCGAATTGATGATTCTTCCAGAGGCTAGATTTGGCACGGGTGTTACGGTGCATAGTGTTTCTCAATGGAGTCCGGGAACAATATATACCTCATTATGATTTCCAATAGAACCAGTGGAAACAGAATCAACATCTCAATTAGAGCTCAGGTTAAGGAACGGCAAACTGAAGCTATAGCGCTAAAGCCCAACAAAGGAATGTAGATCAACTCTGACAACAGCCAGCCATATCAAATTACCAACCGTGTACGGCTTCACCACCCTCATTTACTCCCATTATCTACATGCATAGTCACCGATTCCCACCAACCATAATCGATTCAAGAGTCTCTTAAACCTCGCATCTATTCTGAATCGGCACCTCAGCACACAGATTCGGGCTCGCTCCGTATGGGTTATCGCAGAGCGTATTACACTCAGTTGACTCCGGAGTGAACACCAGGAACTGGTAATTGGGCACGTTCAAGCGGAACTGCTTGGTGATATCATTGTTGTCCTTCGACGCCTTGTAACCCGCGCGACAGGCACAATGGAACCGGGTGCCCGTGTTGATGCACGAGGTCGTGATGTCGCAGTTGTTTTGGCCCGACAGAGGGTTGCAGGTGCCGCAGACGGGCCTGGTGGGGTTGGCGAGGACAAGAGAGGAAGTCGCCAACAGGAGGGTGGTGAGAATGGAGAGGATTTGCATAGTGGTTGGTGGTTAGGTATGCGTTATCAAGGAAGAGTTAAGAAGAAGAGTATACAGCGTAGATTGAGAAGTGGACGTTGGTTATGAGCTTTCACTGAAGATCGAATGCTTTGCTTACTTTTTCTGATACTCTGTTTGGGCTTGAGTTTGCTGGTTCCCATTGCTTCTTATATACCTTTTGTTTCTTCTATTTTGGGGACTATATCACGCGGCGGATGGCTCGGGATGAGGAGGTTGGAACCCAGCCGCAGTCAGCTAGGCCTCCAAGTACGACCTTGGAAAAGGATGAAGACGAGGACACCATTTTCCAATACATGTCTCTCAAACGCAGAGCCTTTTTCCTCTAGAGGGTGTCAGGCTCGGCAATTGAGTTTGGGAGCCACAAACTGGCGGTTTTGGATACGAGCTCTGGAACATGGGACAAAGGAACCAGTGCCATGGTGTCGAGCTAAACGATCGTGGCATTCGCTTGGGTCGATAATGCGGGGGAGAGACTCGGATTTTGAGTCTAGACTTTGTAACTACCAAGCTTTGACTCGGTATTTCTTTGCCGGATACTTGTTCCGACGTGGTCGTGTTCTAAAAGTGTGGATGACGCAGGTGGCAGGGAGATTGATTCGAGATGTCACGCTTGAGTTGTTAGCACACTAGAATCCTTTTTTTTTTTTTTTTTTTGTAAGATTATCTTGTTTGTACCGTAGTTGGATAGATGAAAGGGGCTGCCATTTCCGCACGGGGTGTTCGTTTCGCTAGAGATCGTTGCTGCCGCTCTCGTATATCAGCGAGGGCCATCCTGGAACATGGCGAATGGTGGCGAGTTCATAACGAGGAATCTGAGTCAATGACTCCTGCTTTTGTATCTACATGGTTGAACATGTCGGTGATTTGGCTCTCTATGCTATGCCCACCTGACTGCCTCTTAATCTTCATTGGCTGTTGTTGATGAATATAACTATTTATAGTGACTCTAGGCGTGAGTGCTCTTGCGTGAACGCTGCCAAACCAAGGCGAGAAGCTAAATTACGATACTCTAAACTCTAACTCATGGTTTATGAAGTGCAACCAAGATGTATTGCTAACGTAAATCATCTATTGCGAGACACGAAGAAAGTCTACAGACGCATCTTCGACTGTTCCGGTTCGCCGATCAACTCCAGAAAACTCTCATGAACCTCATCAGTGAGGTCACTGGCTTGCATGCTCCTGCCTTTCGCCTCAAAGGCGCGGCGAGAACATTCTCTTGTAATCCCGCTGCCTGCCCAGGCAGCAAGCAGCAAGGTTGTTGCTGGGGACATTCTCTTGTCCGATGACTCAAGCTCTGCCTGAATCTCCTGCTTACTCTGCGCCTCTCTTTGGTTGTCCTTCTCACCGGAGTCCCAAAGTCCGTTGTGATAAGCCGCTCGCCACGCCAGCAGCGTGCCTAGCGACCCCGTGAGCGTGTCTCCCTGGCCTCCACTGCGCTTCAATCCTCCGACGACTTCGTTGACGATGCTCGTTACACCGTTTGAGATCACATCATGAGGTCCCTTCTGGATTATCGTCACGCCACCAAGAGCTTGCGACAATTTCTCACAGGCTTCGGTTTCTCGGCTCGTCTTGTCACCGCTATCTGACTCGATCTGCGTCATGCTAGGAACCTCAATATTCAACGCCTTGGCCAAACGGCTGAACTCGTTAACATTAGGCGTCAAGATACAGTCCTTGTATCCTTTAACAATATCCGGTTGCTCCGTGACAAGCAGCAGTCCGTCGGCATCTAAGACAAACGGTATTGAGCGGGACCGCGCCTCCTTCAAGACTTCCGTGACCACTTTCAGCGTAACCCCATCACGACCCAGTCCCGGTCCCACTACCAGAGCATGGAGGCGAGATAACATTGCCACGATGGGGCTAGCAAGATTAGGCGCATCGATCGAATTGGGGTCCTTTACAGACTCGCTACTTGGTAATATAGGATGAACCATCAGGTTCGGAGAATAAGACTTGATGACCTACATAGATTGGTGAGTTAAGACATTCAACGCGTTAAAAATTCAAGACGACACAGCATAAGCTTACAGTAGCCGCAGACCGCTCACAGATAACATGACTCTGCTCTTTGTCAGGAACCATCGCATGAACAGTGAGATAGATTCAGACATCCTACCATATCGCAGCCTACAAAGCTTAGTCAACGTTACCACCCCTTATGACCGTTGTTCAGTCACATACCTAGTCGAGCCGAAGCCATGGAAGAGAAATATGGAGCTCCTGTGTAACTTGACCTCGGTCAATACGACTTGTACGTACTCACGTTGAAGGAGTGGGCATACTCTAGTGATCCTCCAATAACGGCAACACGCCCATGCTGTCCTGTGACTACTATTAACACAGAGTCCTTCTGCTATTGTACGAGAACCTGGATAGCCAACTGTGGAATAAGGTAGACAGACCTTTGTGGAATTTCTCCAGCATAGGCGGCACAATCTTGCGTACCTTACTGAAGAGAATCTTAGGCGAAGTCGTGATATGATGAGCCTCCATGACGGATTATATTACAGAACCTTGCTACTCAATCGGAAAGAAACGATACACGCAAGCAACAGAGGGTATGTTGTTCATGGAGGAGAGAAGATTAAGAGAGCAAGAGGGGAGGTGCAAGAGAAGCAAGCAATAAGAGGACTATGGCCTGTGATGTCACCGCCTACTAAGTGGGGCTGATCCGGCGATAAGAATCTTGTCCATGGGTTCCAACTCTCATAGAGATTTAAATAATTAAGCATAAGATGTAAGAATGACGCCTCTCCCCACCTGGTAAACAGGACGCAAAAACACCGGATAGGGTTATTCCAACGGAAGGAAAAGAAGATAACGCTAAAGAGAGCAGCGTTGCCACCCTATCTATCAACACCATGACGCTCGCTAATGCACAGAAGGACTCAAAAAACATATCATAAACAGGAAGTTGCCCTAAAAGAGAAGAGAAAGTAAGAAATAAGGGGAAAAGAAGAGATGTCATATGTAATGCACCCTCGGGTATTTCTCGCTGATGCTCCGTTCCAAGCCAAAAGAAAAATGTGCCGAAGAAGTAGAACAGAAATTACTGACAAAGAAAAAACAAAGGAAGGGAAAAGACTGCTTCGTAGCCTCAACGTCTTCGGGATGCCAATGTAGAAAGCTTCCTCTGGCGCTCCAGCTTTGCTTGCTTGGCTGCAAGCTCCGCACGCCATTCTTCTTCATCCTCTTTCCTTGCAACTGCCAATGCGGCTGCTTCTTCCTCCTCCATATCATTAAATCCGCCTTCCATATCCGATGAGGCATCTGAGTAGTAATCATCGTAGTCGTCTGCATATTCGCCCTCGTCTTCCTCGTCTGTTCCAAGATATTCGTCCATCCTAGATCGTTTGCTCGCTCGAGCCTGTGCTTTCCGATCGATTGGATTGTTTCGAGCGGGTAAGCCAGCCGTACCTCTGTATTCCGGTACCGCAGACGGTGTTGGCCTTGCAGTACCCTTGTACGACAGCTCTTCAGGCTCCCGTTTCCTAGCAGGTTTTCCATCACCGGCTTTGCTACCTGTTGCCGGACCAGACGTGCTGCCGGGTTTCTTCGCCGATCGTGCATCTTTTTCCTTTGCTTGTGCTTCCATTGCTCGTTTCTTGCGTTCCATCTTGCTAAGCTTCTCTTTAGGTACAGCCTGGTGCTTGAACATGCCCGCTTGTGTTGGGGCTTTCTGCTGCAGTTCCTTTGCCTTTGCCATGATCTCCGCAAATGACCCCTTCGGGGGAGGCTTGGAAGACACTGGAGCTGCTTTCTGTGGTGCCGATGACGTTGATATATTGCTCTTTACGGTAGGCTTCGCAACTGATGTGGTGGCAGGACGGGGTTTAGGAACCGCAGCCGCAGCCATTGGTCTAGAGAGTGATTGTTTGCTAGATGCCTGGGTAAGAGGCTTTTGAGGACGTTGCAGCAGCTCCTCAGCCTTGCGTTTCGTACCTGCAGCATTACTTGACCGCTCAGCGACATCACGCGGGGTAGTGCTGGGCCTGCGGGCCTCCGATTTGGCAGTTGATGAGGAGACGGGTGCTGACTGTGTGGTAGTGACTGGCGGTAGGGGAGACGGTTTGCCCGTCTCGATGGATGAAAGAACCGAATCGAGGAACTGCCTCATAAATCAGCGAAACATCACCAGAATAACGGGATTAGGCACTCTTACACTCATCTTGACGCCTAAGGCAGGTATAAATGCGCAGGTTTCGGTCGCAGGAAAGAAGTGATGAGGGCAGATTCACCGTCGGTGGTTAGTGTGACGGATTAACTTCATGACTTCTTCTGAGGCAGAACCTGAAGTTTCAAAGCTCGAGACTTCGAGATTAGCCGTCTTCTCACCGTAGCTCAGCAGAAGATGCTAGGATAATCCAAAGAAGACGCCGAAGCCCTGGTATGCACAGAGAATAGACTGACGAGACCGTTAAGACGAGAGCGCCGGTGGTTTAAATAAGTTACAGCGACTCGCCATCCTGTCTTCTAGAAGCGACTGATCACGTGCCGGGACCAAGTCATCCGGAAGGCTCCCTTAGTAAGAATGCTACCCTTCAAGCATGCATGCGCCACAGACTCGCTTAGAGGTTCCTGGGCCACGAGCCACATCCACCAGCCGCAACGCACTTTTCTTGCGATTTTGGCGATCCGAATCTTCGACTTTCCTCCATCCACATCGCTAACCCTCAGCGAACTCGACGTTTCAGTCTCCGCCCAACTTGCGGTTAAATCGATTGATTCTCGTGTTCACATATTAAACAAATCTGTATGTTTTACAACCTGGTGCATCGCGTTGCGATTTTGATGATCTGATTGTACTCGGCGTTCTGACAAAGTTATTCTTATACAGATTCAAAATGAAGCACCTTTCCGCTTACCTCCTCCTCGTCCTCGCTGGCAACCCCAACCCCTCCGCTGAGGACATCAAGAACGTTCTCTCTTCCGTCGGCATTGATTCCGATGAGGAGCGCCTCCAGAAGCTCATCTCCGAGCTCGAGGGCAAGGACGTCCAGCAGGTTCGTAAAATGTTGGATGATTGAGACCTACAGGGCGCCTACTGACCATCTACTCACTACAGCTGATCTCTGAGGGTACCGAGAAGCTCGCTACCGTTCCCTCCGGTGGTGCTGGTGGTGCTGCCCCTGCTGCTGGCGGTGCCGCTGCCGGTGGTGACGCCCCCGCCGCTGAGGAGAAGGAGGAAGAGAAGGAGGAGTCCGATGAGGACATGGGATTCGGTCTCTTCGACTAAACGCCTTCACTCGTGCGAGCCTCAAAAAATATGTGATATCTCGTGGGGGAACAGAAATCTGGCAGTCATTTGCAGTATTGGGAAGGAAATGGCCAATTTCGGTCAAGTCTGTTTGTCTCAGGCTTCTCTGATGCAGTTACGAATTATGCATACGTGAGCTGAAAAGCTCCTTGATAGCAAATACAGATTATCTGACCCTCCACGAATTGTTCCATATCACGTAAATGCGCGTAAGCCGACTATCTGTCTATCAGGTATGAATAACGGGGCGCGAAATTGTATTACGCGCATTAATTACATATCAGAAACCTAGGCACTTGTATCCATAAGCCCCAGTTAATCAGCCATAAATCGTATAGTTAAACAGCCAATGATAACGGCCATAATCGCCAACATCCATTGAAATTTCCCGATAGGGAAGTATAATGTAGGGCTAGCGGCATATAACCCTACAGCCAGGAATCCACAACGGGCCTAGTTTCTAGGTCTACAACCCTAGCCGTCGCTTAGACGAATCTCAGCCCACCTCCCAACCGCAGCGTCGAGCACAATAGTTGGCCCGACGAACGTTCATCAGCGACACGACACGACAACCCACTGTCCCTTCGCTTTTCGAGTGCTGTTCGAAAAGCGACCTTGAGAGGAACACCCGCAAAAATGGCTGACACCGAATACGTGAGTGCATATACGTCTGGCATGAGTAATCTTAGTTGACAGACTTTTATACTAACATGTATATGTATTAGAACGCTGAGGAGGCTGCCGGTACGTTGTCGAGAAACCCCTTTCCCTTCCCTGTTGCGCGATGGAGGAATATAAGTTGTTATGTGGGATTTGTTTACGAAGGGGCGTATGGATGTTTGGATATAAATGGATGAGCTTTGGAACGAAAGGGGCGAAAATGAATCCGGCAAACGCGATGCAACGGGAAATCACCGAGGAATGAATCGAACAAGGCGCTGACTGGTTATCGGTTTACAGCTATCAAGGCCAAGAGAACCTTCCGCAAGTTTTCCTACCGCGGTATTGACCTCGACCAGTATGTGACAACTTGAAGAAACTCCGGTACCACCTACTCCCGACTCCGAACGAGCGATATGACCGATGGCATCTCAGATACGATTGTTTATCCTCGTGGGAGTCGGGCGTAACGGATGGAAATGTTTGCAAAGGCGCTGTTTCTGACATGGACGTACTACAGGCTCCTCGACCTCTCTTCCGAACAGCTCCGCGATGTCGTGCACGCCCGCGCTCGCCGTAGGTTCAACCGTGGTCTGAAGCGCAAGCCCATGGGCCTCATCAAGAAGCTCCGCAAGGCCAAGCAGGAGGCTAAGCCCAACGAGAAGCCCGACCTCGTTAAGACTCACCTCCGTGACATGATCATCGTCCCCGAGATGATCGGCTCCGTTATCGGTATCTACTCCGGTAAGGAGTTCAACCAGATCGAAGTCAAGCCCGAGATGGTTGGCCACTACCTTGGAGAATTCTCCATCTCCTAGTACGTTCCGCCTCCGCTTAGATCCTCTTTTGCGTCAAAGATCATAATCTAACAACCACACAGCAAGCCCGTCAAGCACGGTCGTCCCGGTATCGGTGCCACCCACTCTTCTCGTTTCATTCCCCTCAAGTAAAGAAGAAAAGCTTTCTGGAGTGTCGCGTGGAGGATTGGGCGTCCGGTTGTGTTGGGAGAAGAAATCAAAAGCGATGGATACCATTTATGTCTATTTGGGTTCATCCAACTTGTATGTCAAGTGCGGGTCAGCTGTTTGCATCTCAATATAAAGGTCTTGTCGGCATGTGAACGAACCACGGATTCCTACTCCGATGACGAGGAGATCTTCAGTCCTTAGCCCTAAAGGGACGAGGCAAGACCACCTGTTCCCTTCCCTATTTATCTAGGGGACGGGGTCTAATTTAACGATTTCTTTTTCTTTCACATCATATGTTATCGCTTGTATTTCGTACAATGTCTTTCGCTAAGTCTAGACCATCGTAGCCCTGGGTCCTTGGATGTATTAGGCATATATATGGTTATGGTTCGCATTATGGCATGTATCCATCTGATACAGCTTTCATGAAGCCTACCCCATGTCTCAATTCATGCAAGCTACGCTTGGACCCCATATCATGCCGGTACCCAAGTCCCCAAGCTAATGCCGGGGCAGACTTGTCCCCAATAAATCTAAAGGCACAAATCCCCGCGACAAACCGATCCACATTAATACCCCTTCTCAAGTGCCGTATCGACAAGCAGTTGCATCTTCTCCCACTCCTTCCGTATATCATCTCCCCTGTCCTTCGGTTTCTTCGTATCCCCCTTAAATCTCTCATTCACATCATCAAATAACCACCTAATCATCCTCTTAAAGCTCGGCACAGTACACGCCTCATCATCCAGCTCTACAAGCCGACTCAAAACAGACCAAGCAAGCAGCGTAGGCTCCGTTCTCATATCCCCCAATCCAAGCAAACTAGTAGCACCCCTATCCGCTCCATAATCCAAGGAAACCGCCACCCTGGCCAACGCATACGCATGCAACTGACGAACAGGATGCCGCTCATCCCCATAAACAACAGGATCAACACGAAGATAGCGCACAGCAGCCTGTACAAACCCAGAACTGATATCTTGATCAGCCAGCAACGAGGCAATCAGCTCATCTCTCAAAGAGACGAGAGGCTGTTCCGTAACGGGCCAAGCGCCAACCTGTCGTAGAAACTTAATAGATGATTGGAGCCTTTTGGCCGTTTTCTTGGGATCGGTTTCCACGGCTGAGGAGCATTCGTTCAGAAGCTCGTAGGCTTCTATTTCTGCGCCTTCTAGGGCGGAAAGGTCATTTTGTGCTTCTGGGCCTAGGAAGCTGTGCTCTGGCTCTGCGAGGTCTTTCTCGCATTTGGCGCATTGGCAGTCGAAGTAGTAGCGCTCGCGGAGTTCGGAGCGGCGGAGTTTGACTGGGTTTGTGGCGTCGACGTAGGAGATGAAGATTTGTTCGCCTTTTTGGATGGGACGGGTGGCTTTGATGTATAGGGTGTCGCTGTCGAAACCGACGGCGGCGTTGTAGTTGCAGCTATGATTGATGAGGGCGGCGTAGGGGTGTAGGTAGAGACCGATGCGGTCGGAGAGGATATTGGTGAAGTTGAAAGAGTTTAATTCCAGCTTGGTAAGTATGTCAGTAGCAATTTAGGGAACGGGGGACGCTGAGAGATCGGGCTGGGATGACTTTTGCTCACTTTGGCACCGAAGGCGGAGATCGTTTCTTCCTTCATGTCTGTTCCGGAGTAGGCTTTGACGGCCTTTGAAGATAAGGCGATACGCTCCCATTGCTCGGGGCTCTGGTCACGGATTTCGGTGATGTGAGTCTCAAGTTGGGAGAAGAGATCTAGTTCCTCGGTGGTGTATTTCTTATGTCCAGTGCGCACGATCATCCGTAGAAGAGCTCGAGCGTTGCTCGGCAAAATGCGAGGGTTTAGATTCTTGAAGATTGCGCACTCGTGCGCGTGGGCAAACTTCCAATCCTTTCTTTGACATTCCTGGTATAGATGTCAGTGATTGGTGTTGATTGGATAATGTATAGCGTGGAGTATAGACCCTGTCACAATACTTTACCACTTTGCATCCAGTACAGTTTTTCAAAGGACCACTGTGGTGGAAAGGTCCGCTCCCAAGGCATCCTGAACATGTGTCACTCAGTCGCGGCGTATCTAACACAGCTACAAATGGACTGGTGATATTCAAAACATCTTCCCCAACTTTAATGGTAGTTGAAGCAAAAAGACCTCTTCCTAAACCACCAGGTGCTGGGCCTGACGTAGCTCTAGTGTGTACTGAGGGGAGAGGTTTTTCTAGAGACATGATATTCTGGTCTTATTCGCCAATGATCTCGGACACAGTCAAATAATCTTTCATGTGTGCTTACTTCCTTTGGACCCATAACAGAGTGAAATAGTAGACGCAGCTCAATCAAAGCTAAAAGGTTTAAACTTAAGGGCGATCCCGCGATGATTAGTCAGTTCATGTAAAGGATGGCCGAGAGTGGTTCCCCAAATAGGACAATGCAAGGTAGTAGTTACCAAAAAGACATAGTAAGGAGAAGAGAGAGAGGTATTGATCAAATATTTGAATCAAAAAATACTATACACAAGTGAATCATAACGATCAATTCAGAGGAAGCCCACGGGATGCTTTTCTCGCTCAAGCACAAAGCCTGCCTACTGGGGAGGAATCATAAATAGGTAACGATAACAAAGAGAAACAAGAAGTTCCACCGGAATACATGAGCATAGCCACCTTTCCCGTCAAAGGTGGCCTTGTCAAGGCCAAATAAAAAGTCTATCAATGTAGAGTAGAGCCTTCTCCACTACGCCAAACCAGACGGCTATTCCGTGCCTTGAAAAAAAAGAAACAACATCAGGTAATTATTAAGTTGACGAAAACTTTTGTTTTAAGACCGCAATGCTGATTTACAGGTGCTTGCCGCCAGCGAAATCAGACCAGCTGCGGACCTCAGAAGGAATACCCTCGGCACGAGGAAGCTTCTCGCTCATGGCCTGGGCAAAGAGGAGAGCAGTCTGCAAAGAAACATGATTAGTATCAATGAAAAGCAGGCAGATAGAACGTGGGTTTAGCATACCTTGGTCTCCATGAACAGAGGAACACCGAAGTCAACGGCGTTACGCCTCATGACGTAGTCCTCATCAAGTAGGGTCTTGCCCCGGGTCTTAGCAAGGTTAAAGGTACCACGGATGTTATACTTCTCGAACACCTCGCGCAGTGCACGCTTGTCTTTCTTAGGGAACTCAATCACCTGCACGGAAACATTTTCCTTGGCGGTGGACTCGATGTGATCCTTAACAGAGGGGCTAGCGGCGAAGAACTGGTAGCCCAATGGCTGAAGATATTCAACAATCTTGGCCAAAGCGGGGTTCTTGATGTCACCACCAAGAAGGATACCCTCACCGGGCTCGGGGACACGGAAGTTCATGGTGGACTGAAGAGATGCCCAGTAGGCGTCAACCAAGTCCTTACCGAAGCAAGCAATCTCACCAGTACTGGACATCTCGACGCCAAGGAACGGGTCAGCACCAGCAAGACGAGTCCAGCTGAATTGAGGGACTTTGGTAGCGACATAGTCACGCTTCTCAGCCATGAGGTCAACAGGCTGAGGAACGTCACGGCCAACAAGGGCCTTGGTGGCAGTATCAATGAAGTTGGTGCCCAGAACCTTGCTAACAAATGGGAAGGAACGGGAAGCACGCAGGTTGCACTCAATAACCTTCAACTCAGGCTGGGCACCTTCTTGGTCGGCCTTGATGATCTGCATGTTGAAAGGACCGGTGATGTTCCAGGCCTTAGCAACCTTCTCAGCGATTTCCTTGACACGGCCCATGACCGACTCATCGAGATAAGCTGGAGGAAGAACAAGGGTGGCATCACCAGAGTGAACACCAGCTGGCTCAACGTGCTCACTGACGGCATGCAACAGGAGCTCACCATTCGAGGCAACGGCATCGACATCGATTTCCTGAGCGCCTTCAATGAACTTGGTGATGACGACAGGGTGGTCAGGAGAGACAGCGCTAGCATTAAGAAGCTTCTCCTTGAGCTCATCCTGGCTGTAGATGACGTTCATGGCAGCACCAGACAAGACATAACTCGGGCGGACCAGGACAGGGTAACCAACAGACTCGGCGAAACGTTCTGCATCAGCAACCGAGGTAAGTTCCTTCCAAGCAGGCTGGTCGACACCAATGCTATCCAGAATCGAGGAGAACTTGTGACGATCCTCAGCCTTGTCAATATCAACAGGGTTAGTACCGAGAACCTTGGCGCCACCAGTCTCCTGAAGACGAAGGGCAATGTTCTGTGGCAGCTGGCCACCGACGGACACAACGACACCACTGGCAGTCTCGAGCTCGTAGATATCCATGACACGCTCGTAGCTGAGTTCTTCGAAGTAGAGCTTGTCAGCAGTGTCGAAATCGGTAGAGTAGGTCTCAGGGTTGTAGTTAATCATAACGGTCTTCTTGCCCATGTTTCTGAGAGAAAGGGTGGCGTTAACTGCACACCAGTCGAACTCGACAGAGCTTCCAATACGGTAGACACCGCTTCCCAGGATGATAATACCATGGTCATCGAAAGTAACATCATGGGAAGTAGCGTTATAGGTGGTGTATAGGTAGTTAGTGTCCGCAGGGAACTCAGCAGCAAGAGTATCGATCTTCTTCACCCATGGAGTGATGCCAAAGCTCTTTCTGCGAGCACGGACATCGTCCTCGGATGCTCCCACAAGGAGAGAGATCTGCTTGTCAGAGAAACCAAGCTTCTTCGCCTTGAGCATGGTCTCCTTCTGGATACCGAAGAGACTGCCAATTTCCTTGATTTCATTTTGGCAGTCAACGATGTTCTGAAGCTTGTAGAGGAACCACTTGTCAATCTTGGTCAGTTCGTGAACCTTATCGACCGAGTAGTTCTCGTGGAGCATAGCCTGGCCGACTGCCAACCAACGGCGATCGGTAGGGTTCTGCAAGACCTCGTCCAAGTTCTCGAACTTATCACCCTGGAAACCAAGGAATCGAGGGTCAACCTGACGGATAGCCTTCTGGAAAGATTCTTCGAAAGTACGACCAATGGCCATGACCTCACCAACCGACTTCATAGCGCTTCCAATATCACGGTTGACATGCTGGAACTTGCTCAAATCCCACCGGGGGATCTTAGTAACAATGTAATCCAAACTAGGTTCAAAGTTCGCGGTGGTGGTCTTTGTCACAGCATTGGGCAGCTCGGGCAGAGTATGGCCCAGGCCGATCTTCGCAGCGGTGTAGGCAAGAGGGTAACCGGTAGCCTTAGATGCCAAAGCAGAAGAACGCGAGAGACGAGCGTTGACCTCGATCACACGGTAGTCCAAGCCATCGGGTTGCAGGGCATACTGCACGTTACATTCACCAACGACACCCAAGTGACGGACGATCTTAATGGCAGCGGTACGAAGCATGTGATACTCCTCGTCGGACAAAGTCTGACTGGGAGCAACAACGATACTGTCACCAGTATGAATACCCAGGGGGTCAAAATTCTCCATGTTGCAAACAGTGATGCAGTTGTTGTCAGCGTCACGCACAACTTCATACTCAACCTCCTTCCAGCCACGGAGGGACTTCTCGACCAGAATCTGTGGAGCAAGGGTCAAAGAGCGGGATGCCAGGTTCCTCAATTCCTCGGGGTTGTTGGCAAATCCAGAACCCAAACCACCAAGAGCATATGCGGAACGAACGATAATGGGGTAGCCAACTTCCTCGGCGGCCTTCAAGGCCTCGTCAACAGTGTTGACAGCAATAGACTCGGCAATGGGAATGTTGATCTCGTTCAGCGCCTTGGCGAAAAGATCACGGTCCTCGCTAGTCTCCAGAGTCTTAATGCTGGTTCCCAAAACCCTCACACCATAACGTTCAAAGATACCCATACGGTTCATCTGCACGCCCAGATTCAGAGCGGTCTGACCACCGAAGGAAAGGAAGATAGCGTCTGGTCTTTCCCTCTCAATGACGTACGTGACATATTCAGGAGTAACTGGAAGGTAGTAAACTTCATCTGCAAGCTTGTGATCGGTCTGGATTGTTGCGATATTAGGGTTGATCAAAACGGACTCCACTCCAGCTTCCTTGAGAGCCTTCAGAGCCTGAGAGCCTATAACATTCGAAAACCAGTATTAGTTACCGTTATTGAGGTACAACAACCCAATCGTTCCGACTGTATCCCGGTCGCCGTTGCGCTCATTTCCAACCATTTGGTACAACTCCCTCGTGCCAAGATTTGATAGCCAATCGCACGAATGTAGTGGTCACTCAATTGGTACAATGAATAGACGACAGTCGAAGCCGTATTGAATGATAAACGCATACTGAACTTTATGACTCACCAGAATAGTCAAACTCTCCAGCCTGTCCGATACTGAGACCACCACTACCGATCACAAGGACCTTCTTCACATCGACCAGATTGCGACCTGGCTTTACAATGCCACTGGCAAGGTAGCTCTCAGCGGAGGGGGCATTTGTCGACTCCGACGCCAGGCGGCTAATAGCACTAGAGAAGGAGCGAAGCTGCTGTGGCCTCCATGGCGAAGGGGTCTTCTGCTGCAAGCGCAAACTTGATGCCGCCGAATGGGCAGTGGTTTGGGAGGAAAATGGGCGCAGAGCAAGTGTGGATCGGCGAGATTCTGCCAGACAACGCTGACGCAGAAGGGAGGCCGTGGCCTGCCCGCAACGAGTAGTGAGAACCATTGCGCACGGCGCTGGTATGGGAAGGGAATAGGGAATGGGGAATCTAAGAGTCAATTCCCGGAAATATCCAAGGAAGACGATGTATAAACTCTACTGCCGTGTGGCTGTATGAGTCTGCCTTTTTGGCACCCTGTTATCCCGCTTTATGCCACACGCCCAGTACACAGGGGAGGACTAAAGGAAGAACGGGATGAATGGCCAGGAAGTTGGGGGAGAAAATGGAGTAGTCAGAAGGAAGGAAGATAAAGAAAGGACGGAAGGGAAAAAAAAGGTTAAAAAGGTCTTGGTAGGGCGATGAGTCAATGCACTACAGTGAGAGTAGTTCTGGAGACACCAAAATCCAGGATAGACGACATGGAACCCCCGAAAACGCGAAAATGCCCCAACCTCCAAGCCGATAAGAGCTCCGGTGTGCGGAGCCATCAGCTTTTTTTTTTCCTTTTTCTCTGTTTCTTTTCCCCATCGGGATGCGGACGGGTCACCGCCTGATAATGCCGCCAATCAGCGCTCCGTATTAGGGCTGCAGGAAGTGCAGGAGATCATAGAGACCAGAGCTGCAAAAGACACTAGACTCTCTAGTTCCTGGCGGCGCTAACCGCTTTCCACCTAGTTGTATGAGTCAATGGCCTACGATGGAGAACCGGGTATGGGGTCTCTGGATCTTTGAATAATGATAACTCATAATGCCGTCTGAGATATTGGAGATTGTAATTTATCATGACCCATTGGAATTGATCTTCACCATCAATGGTTTGTTTGACCAGCCAAATCCTCCGTCAATGGCTCTGAAATCATGGTCCATGGCTGCAAATCCTCGCACGAAAAATTTTTTTTGACTAAATTGCAGATCAGCCCTCTTTGCAGGATTCTATCAGTTGAATGGTGTCTCCGCTACAGAGCGCTCGCTACCGCGCTAATGGCAGCTAAGCACGGGAACACCGGCATTCGGAGTCCCCACGTTATCTTTTGGAACCAATGTTGGCATCCAACATTGCCGGAAGTACATCCCTGCAATTATTTCCCATCGAATCATGATTTCTTGACAAGATAAGATGTACTTTCTTAGTTCAGGGTTGCGACTAGCTTGTTTTATCTAATGGCTCTATCATTCCGTAACTCCTATTTGTCCGTCAAGCTTAGTCCATGGTCCTTTAGCCCTTGGTCTTATGCGCGATTTGGATGATTCTGCCTCATCTTGATCTACCTTGTGCCGCAAAGCCTCCTCTAGGTCCTGGTCCAATATATCGTAAACTTCTTGCAAGGCCTGCTCCGCATCTTGGGCGGTTTTGATACCTTCTTCAAGGCTGTGTTCCACATTTTCCCGTCCACTCGTCCCTGCCGCTTCCGACGCAAAGGCCCATGCTTGAGCTAGTGCAACAACCTCATCAGGTTTTGCTGGCTCCACCGGCATATGGGCATGACGGGCGTTTATAGCCGCAGCCGCATGTTTAAATCGTGGCTGCCGAGCAAGCATAGGGTACTCCGGAAGAAGATGACTCTCATCTCTCAGCCGATTCAAGATGCGCAGAGTCGTGGATTTTTCTTTTGCGAGAGTTCCAGTCAGGTAGAATTTCTGCAAAGCTAGTGCCCGTTGGCATCTCGAAAGTGGGAGGAGCTGTTCATCCGCGAAAGATAGGACATCCACTGGCTCTAAGGTTGGCGTCTCCTCAGGGGTAATTTTTTGTTTCTCTGTGGGGCGACTTGCAGGTTGCACAGAGCTGGTGCCGATGGGCTGGCATGCCCTAGAAGCTGCATCGAGAAGACGCTTGCGAGCATCAACGTAGGCGGCATACTGTTCTGCGATCTGTGCTTTCTGGTCTTCCAGCAATTGGGCTGACTTCTCAATTTCTTCGGGAGACAACTCCTGCACAGGACCATCCTCGTTGTTCCCAACACTCCCCAATTTTTCCTCGACCCATTGTACCAAGACATCTCGGGTTTGCTGTAGCGCAGTAACCTTTGCGCCAGAATCAATACCATTGTTGTCAGAACCATCCTCAGTATTATGCTGCGCCTTCAGCTCCTCGAGTAGTCTCTTTTCTCGCTCTAGTTGATTTCTCGCGCGTAGCACGGCCCTTTCAAGGTTATGCATCAAGTTCTCAATTCCATTTTCGGAGGTACATCCATTTTGATCTTCTTCCGAATCTGTTGGCAGGGAAAACTGTTGGCTGCGATTTCCTACAGTATCGAAGTCCTCTGGTCTGATTATATCTCGTTTCTTAAGCTCTTCCAAATAACGCTGAAAGACTTGGAGCTTCGCGTGCCGGCGACGGTCGCGGAGCAGTTCGAGATAAGCTTGGAGTTCTGAGTTGGGATCAACGGAGTGTGTGTCGACGCCACCAGTAGGTTGACCCTGTGGCTTCCCGGAAGTATACCTCTCAGACACCAAACGGTATTCCTTCCTTGCATTCACATTTGCCTGCAATGCTTGTAGATATTCCTTTCTTAGTCCCGTCAATTCTGGCGGAATACGCTTCACATCGACAACGGCATCTTGAGGTACGCATAAAGAGAGATGGGATCGGGCATGGACATTTGGGTGATCGGGATTATCATCGGCAAACGTAATTTGCGATCGGAGGTAGGAGGTTAGGACCTGTCGGATGCGTAGGGCTTCCTGGCGACTTTTGATGTAAGGAGCAAGCGGTTTAGCGAAGGCAGGAATGTGCGCAGGGATAGCGGAGTCGTCATTGTTATGGGCCATGGATGGGCGTAGGTATGGGCGGTGGAGGTCCAGCGCCGTAATCTGAAACGTCAAGGTGAAAATCAATTCCTATCGGTGGTCCTCTAGTATGGTATTCGATACCCCGGATTCAAGTTGTTTGTTTCTCTTGTTTGTTTGATGATCCCACCTGACATTAGGTAAGCCAATGGCCCGCCCGATGATCCACGTGACTTCGTGTCAGCCAAGGTTTCGGGTGTTGTTTTCTGTATAGAGTGACAGTACACATTCGTACCTACTCCGTGGATTTATCGAAATGTATGAGATAGATGTGGAGCGATACGATGTGAGACGAATTGTTCTAAAATAAGAAGCCTCCTCATCTCGCAGATGTGGTGCTGTTGGTTTCAACATGATCGAGGCGGGAAAAGCAACCAAAATTATATATACATGGACAAATTTGAGAACTACCCACTTTGGTTGTCTAATATTAGCAGTAGATTATACTTACTAAAATAGACATTGATACCACTGTGCCCCCTCTTCTAGCCATTCTGTCAGCGATAATGTAGTACTTGACTGTAGTAGACAATGGGTGTGCTCCATGTTAGTGGATTCTGTAACCTACCAAAATGAAGATACCCTGGTTCGGATCTTCGGGCAACGGTTTCAAGGATCCTTAACCCTGTCAGTCATTTCATTGTTTAGTCCCAATGAGTGATTAAGTAAAGCTTCGGTTTCGGAGAAGAAATCTAGAATAACCGACTGTTACACGAACAGAAACCAAGGACTGGCCCTTCTTCCATCATCATCATTATTGCATTGTTGATAGGTCTCATGCATGCACATCGTATGTTGCTGAGGTATTTGGCTGGAAATTATTGTTTTTTTTCTTTTGCGGTTCAAAGAGTGGCCCTAGGGTTTGGTATGCTTTGACCCTTTGGATTCTCAATCAAGGGGGGAGGGGATTTCTCTTGTCGTCAACTTTCATATATAGTCAGTCAACTTACTCTTTACTTCCAGGACGTTCTACTCCTAACGGATTCATCGCTCATATTATCCTCTTTTAATCCACCCCCTCAACAATCTTGTGATCCATCACAATTCTCCACAGAATGGCACCAGAATTGGCCTCCGTGCCCATTTCAACTCCAAGATCACGGCCTCGAGCTGCAACGGCGATGCAACCAACCACTACACCGCCAGCCATCTCTTCTCGACGTCCGTCGCAAGTAATGAGCCCGCCCGCTCTCCCACTTGCGCCGGTTGCATATACAGGGAGTTCTGGACCTGGAGGCAATGATCAGGGCAGTGTGAGATCGGCCTCCGGTAAGCTGCCGCTTTTCTCTTTAGATTGAGACTCTCGAGCTGAACTACTTCCAAGGTCCACTGAGACACCCAAAGCCTCTTACGCCGTCAGACATCCACTCAATGCTTGAACAAGAACAAGAGGCAATGGTATTTATTTCTGGCAGCCCATAAGGTCGCATATCCATACTGATCTGAGCTCCAAAGGTTAACCGTCTGTCGAGAGAGCTGTCTCTCCTCCGACAACAAACAGCTTCTGTAGCATCGACAACTTCCTCTACATCTACCACCTTCAACGACCAGTCAGATGCCCCGCAGGCCTCCTCTTACTTGTCTTCAACGCATCCCACAGCATCGCGGCGTCACCGTTCCTCGTCCAGCCTGAGCTCCTCATACATCCCGGCCGTCCAAGGCTCAAGAACAGGAAGCGGTGCTGGGATCATTCCATCGCGAGATGTTCCTTTATCGTCGTCCCGTCCGGGTCGGAGTCGAGAGTCGTCCTTCACCTCTCCGCGACAGTCAGAAGGAACGCTACCACTATCTCCTGCATCCGCACAGCAGTCACAAAGTGATCCATTCTCGAATTATGTCTCCGGGTCGCATCCGTACCCCCATCGTAATTCGCTCTCTCAACAACGGTCACGTACTACTTCTATATCCCGCCCGGATGAGATAGCACGACAACGTGCGGAATTGGAGATACTCAAACGGGAAAACGAAGGGCTCCGGCGCCGTGTTCGAGATCTTGAACTCGTTCTTCGAAAACATCGCGAACGGGAGCTGAGTGTGACAGATTAAGTAGCATCCGGAACCATTGCAGCTATTACAGATGAATTGAACAAAACATCTGTAACAAAAGTGGATGATACCAATTGAGGCAGCAAAGAGACCGTCTTATTATTGTTGAGTGATTATCTGTTTAGTTAGGAAGGAAGAGTCCTAGATGGATTCAGGAACAGGTAATGGTTGTCGATAAGTGCTAAGAAATTGTCTACTCGCTTTCGCTCGCATTCTTATCCTTTCTTTCACCTCAATTTGCTTTTAGCCGCCAATCCGCGATTCAAAAATAGCCATCCTACTTTTCTTTCGGAAAATACTTCTGCCTTCTAGCACCAGCCGTCCACATCATAATTACTTGCCGTCACATGTTGATGACGACTCCCCACTGTGGCTGTGCAACGTGCCCCTCTCCCACACGTCATCTGTGGCTCGACTGCACCGCCGAAATAAATACTCCTGAATTGTTCTTCCCAGCGCAATTATTTCTATACCTCTCTATTATTTTAATTGTACCCCTCTTGATATACCGATCCTAATATATTTTCTACCGAAATCCACATTCCATCGTTATCATGTCTGAACGCAGCACAGTCCATGTCTCGGGCATTGCGCCCGCCACCTCTGAGAAGGAAGTCCAGGACTTCTTTAGCTTCTGGTAGGATCACACTGCTTATGTCTCCAGACCTTCGACGCGACTGACTGCTATATAGTGGCAAGATTACCTCCATCTCTGTGACCCCAGTTTCTGGTGAGCCAGATGCTCCCAAGTCCGCAACAGTGACTTTTGAGAAAGAAGCGTAAGTCTTACCCCGCACTAACTCGTTGGCTCTTATAGTCGGCCCATGCGAGCTTTGAAAGATAATTTTGAATGAAATACACTAACTATGGCTTTAGAGCTGCCAAGACTGCCTTGCTCCTGGATCAGACTCAGCTGGGAGGTTCTGCAGTGCACGTCCAGGCTGCCCAGACTCTCGACGACATCGCCGGTTCCCAGGCCGCCAGTGCGGGGGAGGCCAGGGACGAGAACCACCATGAGATCGCGCAGGAAGACAAGCCCAAGTCCCGAATCTTTGCCGAGTACCTTGCCCACGGCTATGTACTGAGCGACAACGCAATCCAGAAGGCTATCTCCCTCGACCAGAAGCACGGTTTCTCCAACCGCTTCACCTCTGCTCTGTCCAACTTTGATCAGAAGTACAAGGCCACAGACCGCGCCAGAGGAATCGATGAAAGCTACAAGATCAGCGACAAGGCTGCCACTGGTTGGCACGGACTCCACTCATACTTCGAAAAGGCTCTTGGCACACCATCGGGTCAAAAGCTTCGCGATTTCTATGCCCAGACCGATAAGCAGGTGCGGGACATCCACACTGAGGCCAGACGCTTGGCAGACCTGAAGAGTGGAAAGACTGCCCACGAGGGTGAGGCCCCGGCTGCCGGCAGTGTAGAGGCCTCTGGTGCAGTCCCCGAAGGTCCTGCGGCTCCTACGGCTCCTGCTGCCCCTGCCGAACCTGCTCCTGCCGAGCCTAAGGCATAATGAACTAACGATGTACTGAAATTAAATTGGGATGCTGTCTGATTTGTTCTGCCGTTATTTCCTGTATTCTGGTGTGCGTTTTTGAACAAGCTGTCTGGAACAGGCTTTTGTCAATTAGCTACTATTCTAATCAGTTATTCTTCGAATACCACTGTGCTTAGTACCCAGCTGCAGAATGCCAATGCAACGATTCCCAAAGATAATTATTCAAACATGGCCACCAAAACAAAACGAAGTAGACATAGTATATATGAAACTTTTCCTACGCAGCAGAAGTTCAATAAACCAAACCATCTTCCACCCACCTTCAATGGGGCTAGACTTAGGGATAAAAGCTCCTCTCTAGAAAATAATATCTTACTATCTTAATGGATTGAGTGACCTAAGCAAGCCCCTGCAGTTAACTTATCCCAAATAGTACTTACCGTCCCCAAACCATATACACGGAAATAACCAAATAGGCAAAAGAAAAGCCAAAGGACGAAAGATAAGAGAAAAGAAGTCATTCTAATGCATATATTCACTGAAAAAAGAAGCCCATCATAAAAATTACATATATGTAGTTAACACCATCACCAATGATAAACCCATTCAAATCGAAAGGTCATCCATCAATCAGTCTATTAATTCCCCGGCCCCTTCGTGAACTTCTTCGCCTCGATATCCTCCAAAGGATGTTTCGGGTTGCTCTCGAGTCCATGGAACTTGGTATCCTCCGATGCTCCCTTGGAATCACCATGGATGCCATGCTGGGTGTGTCCCGAAGCAACGGGGTCCTGTTGCTGGGCGCCAGTTTGGCGCTCCGGGGGAGGGGACTGGCGGCCGGAGTTGGGGGCGGACATTTTTGATGATTTGAACCTTGTTTCCGAGTGTAGAGAATAGAGGGAGTTGAGTTATGTGTGGAGGTATTCTGGAAGGATTGTAAGGTTAGATCTTGTAGAGATTTGGAATTTGGTGGAGGGAAATGCATTGCGTACTGTATCTGGATTTTGATTCTGCAGGCCGAAAAGAGGAATGGGTGGATTGTTGTTTGGAAGAACAGAATTGGGAGGCGAGGATTTGGTGTTTAAGTAACTGCCACTGTCTTTAGAAGCTGAGATTTATGATGCCAAGTTAAGTCGTTGTATCATCATGATGACGTCTGTTCGGTGGTATCTGGTTCCACTGCTGGGTTAGGATGTTAAGGTGTTGGTGGACACCGGTGTTGTAAGTTAGTTATGTGATTTTTAGGGCGCATTGTCATTGATGCCCGGGGTTTCAACATGGCAGAATATTTTATGCCTTGAAAGGTTTACTACATGCGACTCAGGCCATGAACTTATTGCAGTTCGTGCAATATCAGATATTTTACTTGGTAAATGTCTGGATGAAAGATTGCGATGGCGTCATACGTCATGTTGTTTGTTCTGTTTGTTTATCGTACCACGTGATCTATGTAACATGCGAGAATCGGCTGAATAAATATTGAATCTGCCCCGGAGATACTTTCCGGCTTGTTTTTGATATTTCTTTCTTTAAGACTGATTGTCTTGGGTCATCTCCCGAGCATGAAATTCGATGAGTTGTGTCATCTGGATATGGGCATCGGTCAACTGACGGAATTAATTGGGGATATCAGTGTCTGTAAATGCGTGGAGTACAATTGGAATATGAGGCATAGTGAAGAGAAGACTTTTGGGGACATTCGGAGATTCGACAACCGTGATGATTGCGTCAAGGAAAAGGAAATGATCTAAACAACAAAAGAAACAAAAGAAAAAGGCGTTATAGCGTATCCAGCTTGTCGCTCCACTAGACCGGCGACCTGAGACATTTCAAAAGGTGAAAGCTGCTCCAAAACAGACATTCAAACTGGATTAGCATCTTTTATATCATCATCGGCATCCAACAAAAGTCAACTGGTTCATTTCGTCGACCTGCTGGCTTCTTTTAGTTCTGTTATACTTCTAATTTCCGTTGGTCTGGATCCCCGCCGCAGCAGCTTCTGCGTTGGCAGCAGCCAAAGCCTTGGCATCGGCCTCATTGAAGACAGCATGTAGCACTTGCTGCTCCTCCGCATTCAGGATCTTCGTCAAGTTCTCATAGAGTTGTGGCTGTTCTTGCTGAAGACCTGTAACACAGTTAGCTAACGTATTTTCGAAGACTCGAGAATGAATGATACATACCCATGAAGACGTGCTTGAACAGGCCATACGGCTCGATCTTGTCCAATGGCGTCTCGAGTAGGCTTTCCTCGTCCAAGTCATCCTCATCATCATCTGCAAAGGAACCGAACTTTTGGGCCTAATTATCCAGTCAGTTAATGAGATTCCATGGCGTTAGCGGATGAGCTAGCTCACCTCCTTATTCAAGAAATCAAGGTATGCGGCGCTCTCATCTTGAACATCGCCCTCGGGACCAGCCTCGGTCTCATCTTGATCGGTCCACTCGATTTCTCCATCCCAGTCGTTATCCTCATCACCCTCGTCATCCTCGTCCTCGAAGGTAAAGTCCGACTCTTTAGTTGCATCTTCGCGGTCTGTACAGGGTAAGTATGACATCTCAACTGGACAAGGGAAGCAACATACTCTTAAGCGCAGCAGGCAGTGTCTGGAAGAGCCTGGTCACTCCCTGAAGCAACCTAGGCCAGCCTTGCTGGACGCTCGCGGGAACATCGCCAGCATTCAATGTCAAAAGCGAGCTAATCGCTGCAATGGAGAGCTTCTTGTCATGAACTCTGCGGAAGTTATCGATGTTGGAGAACCAGGCGCTGAAGAACTTATTTGTCCAGCCCTTAGCCTCCAGAACCTGAAGACTGAGAACAGGGTTATAATAGATAGCGTTAATCACCATCTCAATCAGATGGATGCGGTAGGACTTGGTCTTTGCCTCGTCAGCGTCGAGCACGCGCATTGGCAACTCGATGAATAGAGGAATGTATTGGTCAATGCCGCCGCGCAGGTTCAGCATCACAGTCTCTGCTAGCTTGCAACCACAGATCCGGTCCACACCGCCAACCTTCTCATCACGGAAGATGTCTTCAACCATACTGACAACAGCAGCAAGGTACGCTGGGTTCTGAACCATCATCTGAGAGCCATATGCGACATAGTTGTCAAGTGCGGGCAGCATGTCCTCTAGGTACAATTCAGCGCCCGCTTTGAAGGTCTTGTGAATAAGCTCGAACGCTTGCCACATAGTGGGCGAGATGGACTTTGACGCAAAGGTGCAACTGTCGATAATCTCGAAAATTTCGTTGTAAAGGTCATATAGCTTGTTCTCAAGCGTGATGCTGATCACAGGCATGAGAATAGTTTCGAGATGCAGAAGCACATCGGGGGTGCTCTCCAGAGTGAGAATGAGGGTTCCAATAGTCTGCAAGACACCCAGGGCAGTGATACTTTTATCATCCAAAAAGTCGCCATATTCATCGTCGCCCTTCGCGGCGTTTCTTTCCAAAAGCTCACCAACAATACGCATGTATGTGTCACGGAGCTGCTCA